TACTGTACCTTTACAAATTTCTTTAAAGCTTTAATTGTTATTGTTCAACACAAAACTGCTAGCACTTTGGCTTGACCTTCTACAGAAGATTAAATTCTATGACATTAGTACATATGTAGAATGGAATACAAAGTCATTTGAAAATATATGAGTCTGGAAGGACCATTACAAACATCCTATAAACCACATACTATATAGGATATATATACCATGTGGTATATATATAATGGTTGACTAGAAAAAGTGATATACTTTCTAACTTATGTTTGTCCCTAATAGCTTCAGACTCCTTTTAAGTTAAATTTACTTATTTGGAAAAAGGTTAAAGTTTGTTAGAGATTTAAGTTTCTACACTTAAATACTATTACATCAGATGCCTAAATAATTATTTGTTATTTTCCAAAAATTCACCTTAATCTTTTGTAGGAGTAGTTTGGACCCATTTGCTGTCATACAAAAATCAAATTAAATGCAACAAAAGATCTTTCTAAATAAAATTTTCTTTTTGGAAATTTATAACATGGTCATCCTATTGTATCTTTTGAGTTGAATTATCAGGATCTGCAAATTTAAAAAAGACAATAAGAAATAAAACTCTAGGAAGGAAGGCACTTATACCCTGCACATGGTAATTCTAGGCTGTATTCTCCATAATTCTTATCAAATGTAATTGATTTTTGGCCTATATACAAACACACCCAAGTGCCAGAATAAAGAGAATCAAGTTGGCTACCAACTGTTTCACATTAGCAGGATTTTTCTTTAGAGGCTTCTGATGGAAATTTGAAGTATATGTTATCATATCAAGTGCAGGAGAGGTATAAGGCTGTTGGAGAAATTCCCTTAGTTTATTGACTAAAAAGCCAAAACAATTGTCGTTAACAGTAAAGCTTGACAAGATAATTAAATGAATGATAACAAAATCTCAGCAGGGAAATGCCCATTAATTGAATTTATTTGGGAGCATGTTTTCACAAGTATATATAACCAAATTATCTAATTTTCACTCACGTTAAAAACTGATAGTCTATAACAACTAATTACTAGAAATGAAGAAAAAGCCCAGTTTAAACCAATAACACAGAGGAAAACAAACATCAAAGGATTGCCATGATATTTGACAGCTTCCTAAAAATTCCATTCATCATTTTGCCCTGTGAAAATCTTTCAGTGAAACTCGCCAAAGAAAAAACCCCAGTAGTTTTTATGTAGTAGTGCTGTTAAAGCTGAAACACATTTGCCACATTCTTTGTATCTTTTCATGATATTAATATGTGTGTCAGTATGAGTATGTCAACAGGTGAAATCACTGAGAAGAATATGACAAAGATACAACAATCGAGTTTTGGCATTTCTTTTCTGTAAGAAAATTAGTGCGTTGTTTTCCTTTTAAGTATTATATATGGTTAATTATTTTTAAAAATTTGTTGCTGTTTTCACATTGTACAGATCAAAAAATCAAATGAAAGCATCATTATGGCCAACTTTTAAATTTGAAATGAGGAATGAAACAATTTACACTTTACTCAGATTTTCTTCTTTGAGCTGCTAGCATGATCTCTCCAAATTCAAATTGGACATTTTTAATGCTTTAGCAAATGACTTTCCAATTTCCATAAAGCTAATGAATCTTATGTCACATCTGTAGTAGCCAACCAGATTGTGTTCAGAGTCAACATATTCAATAGAAATTTAAAACTATGGAAATTATCACTTTCATGTTTCTAATCCCATACTCTAGGACAACTTTAATCTATTGATCAATGTCTGGCAATAATTTTATAGAATAGCAAAACAGTGAAATAAAGTCCATTTTGGCTTAATGTTTGTATAAATTCTAAGCAGCCTTGACTATTTGCAATTTAATCTGAGGGAGGAAAATCTGAATTAATAAGTAATGTCAAAAATATTCTTTTAATTTTGTGACTTACTTCTTTCTAAAGAAGATTATCTAAATAAATACATTTTAAAGATATTGGTTAAAATTTAACAATATCCAAAGTCTTTCTTAGATTTAGAAATTATGTTTCAGCTTTAAAAACAGTTCTTAATATTCTGTTTAGTGTGGGAAATCATTTTATGTTCAGAAAACTAGCTGCTGTAATTATAAAACTAACAACTAACACTCCTTCACGATGACTTTATCACAACTTGAGAACAGTAATAAAACCTAGAAATGCTTCTTATCTTTCACAGAGTTGGTACTACATTAATTTAGAAAAAAGAGTAGGACTACGCTTTGTTTTACTAAATCACTTCCCTAAATTAATATAACATAGATGTCAGTTATGGCATATATAGGTAGATTGATAGATTAATTTAGAGTAACAGCTACGTAGGTGGACGTAAATATGGCCATCATTAAGATATAACGGAATGCCTGATTTTGCCAAGTGAAGTAATGCATATGAAAGATTTCACTCATATCTTATTTTGTTACCATTTCTATTTCTGCTTTTTAACCAGTGTATTAAAAGACGGGTTTCTGATTAGCAATATTTCAGATGCTAAGCAATTCGTTTTCTTGGCTTACATTGGCAGTTCACAGCCTAAAAGCATAACCACATCAGGCAAAAACTGCATGTAGACCGCTCCGGGTTTTGAAGACTTTTTGCTTCTAACAGGGATTTTTATTTGAAGTTATAGAGTAATTTCTACATTTAATTGATAGTTAATAATTGGGAGGGGAAATTACAAGCAAAGAAATTCCTTGATATAGAAGATTTTATCTTTTAGTGTCAGCTTAATGTCTTGCTCAGCACTTTTAAATTCTCTTAGGAAGATAACTTCCTATCCATTACTTTATGATAGCTTAATCACCCTTATATTATGAACCTAGCTATTCTCATTCCATGAAATATTGCACATTTATTTCCAATAGACCTTTTCCTTGACAATGAGAATTGGGACCTGTGTTTCTAATTGAAAACAATTGGCACATTTTATTTCTACAACACTTTCACATAAGAGGTATTTAAAAGTACAAAGCTAATATTTTTCATGAGTTCTTGGGCTTATAAAGTTTCATCAATTTCATCTTAGATGAGACTTGCCTTTAAACACATGGTGTGTTTCCTGTAGAAGTTACCTGTATGTCTTCAAAAACCCTACTGGTCTAGAAAAATGACTCTCTGAGACAGTCATGTTTCTTTTCTTTTCTTTTCCTTTTTTAAAAAAAGACAAAACAGCAATAAACATTTTAGCTCTTTAATGAGCAAAGATCATGTCTCTTAGCATTGGACTAATAGTCATTATCCAGATTATCTTTATTTCACGCAATGACCAGTGACATGGCCAAGATGTACAAAGTTGTTTCCATCAAGTAGTATACAATTTTTTTTTTTTGTATAATAAGCTTTCATTCTTGAAAAAGAGTAACTGAAAAGAAAGGTTTCTGTTACTGCAGTTAGTTTGTCAGAGAAAGTTCTTTGCATTATCTTACAAACTATCAAAATTGCTAGTCATCTGAAAAAATGTAAAAAAAAATCACATAACTTTAGTCTAATAGAAATATAGTACAGGTAAGAGAGAAAGTATTTATCAGGATGTGCTCTTTAAGTCCATCTCAATTTTTTTTAATATAAATGTACATCTGATTACATATACAAACATTTGGAAAGGTCTGTGATATACTGTTACTGGTAAACAACAGGGGGATGAAGAGTTTCCTGTGGTCTTAAAGTATTCATTTAAAATCACACATACGTGTAAGACTAAAATCCTCCAGGTGTTGACTCTCCTTCTAGGTTCTGTATCTATGTTGTACTCTACTGAGATTGCGTGAGTAAATTCCAGTGGATGAACCTCAGTGAGAAAGATAAGTGATATGAGGAGGGACATAACTGTATATTGAATTATTAGTAGTAAACATTTTGTCATGCAACATGAGTAAATCAATTAACTGAGAACTGTAATCAGAGTGGTAATTTGGGGCATCCTCATATCATAAAAGACTGTTGCAAGTAACTCTTTGGACACACTTCACCTTACCAAAAGGAACAAAATACAGAATAACAAAAACCACAGAAAATTATAGATCCTGTAGCACATGTCCAATTAGGGCTGTATTTCTATAAATTATTTAGGTTGGAATGAAAATAACATTAAAAACACAGGAATGTTTTTTTCCTGGGATTCATATCAGCGAGTATTCACCACTATACCTATAGTTTCTTCAAATACCTTTAATAACTAATTCTTCCTATTATCAAAACTACTGTGAATTATTTACTTCTAATTACTTTTGCCCCTTAAAAATCTTCTTTAGGTTCTGCCAATTGATAGAGGAAGCTTCTATTAAAGACTCCAATGGGATGAGAAGAATTTTAATTACGGCTTAATCAGCAGCACAGCCACCAAGCATATAAATTATCATGCACATCGTGCTAAAAATATCCAGTTTCCTTTATCCCCACAACTTTATACTGACAGCACTTATGTGATAACGTTGTACCTGCCAGTCTTTAAACTTCTTTGTCTTACTGGCAAATTTCAGCATGAGCCTCCGCTAAGGCCATTAACAGCACTGGTGCTTTGTGTACTTATCCAAATATGTAAATATGGTCTACACAATAAAACAGCTCCAAATAAAAACTGGTGAAAATTATCTGACATTCCATTGGTGTGTCCCTTGTGCATATTCATGGTTGTTTTTTTATTTTTATTTTTTATATTTCAGACATAGTTCTTTCCTGTTTGGTGTTCCACATGCCTAATTCCATTATGTAACATAAATCTTCAAAAAATTAATTCTTGAATATGAATGAAAAAGTATCATTCAGGACAATTGCTTCAAGCAATTGAAATTCATTTTTAAAGTTGATTTGTGTATATATGTACAATTTAATTTTTTCAAAACCCCCAAAGTTCTTGATATGTATATTCACATAATATTCCTCCTTATTTAAATAGTAAGAGTCTTGTAGGTTGAAAGCCAAGGAATCTTCAGTAATCTTTTACTGCAATCCATCAAAAAAATAGAGTTTGTTTCTCTTATCTGGCTATACCCTGGTTGTTGAATGTGAATGGGGGTGGGGATGGGGATGGGGCAGAGTATTGTTCTGTCCTCCGGTAAATGTATTGAATGTGTGTAAGGGTTGAATCCCTGGTATAGTATTGGGAATCATTGTAATGGTGTTGGGTGTCATTAAGGGAACATCATCAGGTGACCTCCTCATAGCTAGTGTGTAATCTGGGGGGCAGGCGGTCCGAAGAACCACCTCATGTGGATGGATGGACTCACATTCATGATCCAAATCAGTGTGCTTCATTTGGAGGGACATGATCTCCTCTTCTTGTGCGTGGGTCAGATCGTTGGTTGTAGTACGCTGAGGGCTGCATCTCCTATGAACGTCATGTCTCCTCTTATCCTTTTTGTAGTACAGGGCTGCAAAGGCAAGGATGTTCAGAAACAGCAGTGATGCTCCAACTGCAATAGTGACGCTCAGCTCTGTGGAGTAGTCCCTTTGATCGACTGAAAATGGACTCGGTTGTTGTTTGGGATCATCCTGCTTGGCAGTGGGAAATGCTGATGTGACAGGTACAGAATTCTTTCTCGTAGGTCTGAAAGTGATGTCAGTTGATGGCACTTTAGTTGTTGTCGAGGTATACTGAGAAATGTCATTGAGATTATGCAGATGAGGTACCAGCTCCAACCAGAGGTTCACCTTATTGGCTCTATAATGTTCTTTAACTCTTGGTTTTAATCCAATATGGAGATAAAGTTGATCTTTCTGGGAATATCTGGTCCATGCTACTTCTTCAAAGCGGTTGGGTTTGGTATGGATGAATTTTGTGTCTTGAGGGACTGGTTGATTTGGGTCACTAGGGGAAGAACAAAAGCGCTCATGAGAACAAAGTTGTTTTTGTTTTTGTTTTTTCTTATTCAAAATAGTACTACTTTAACATCTAATTGAAGAGGTAACTTGGCAAGTTAGCAAGGCCTTAGATTGTGTTTTAATAACAATTTGGGTCAACTTAGAAATATAGATCCTCTCATAGGCAGGTTAAATGGATGATGACGTGATGCGAGTAAGCCTCACGATCTTGCTCTCTCTGGCCATTTAGAGATGGGTTACTATCTACCCAAAGGTTTTTAAATTCACACACATACACATTGTCTCATAGGCAAACTAGCAAGGACAGCATGGAATAGTGGAAAAAACCCGAGTTTTGGAATTGGCAGATGAAGCTGTAAGTCCTAGTACTGCTATGTATATCATAGAGCTATGAATATCTATATGAGGCTAGGCTCTCATCACCTCAGTCCCTTATTTACAAAATGGATTAATGATACCTGGCCTGCCCACCTAAAAAATAAGTTGGAAGGATCAAAGGACAAACAATAGTCTAAATTAGAAAGCACTATAAAATAATATTTGTCACTACTAAATAACAAGAATAAGTCCCGTGTAATTAAAAAATAAAATAAATTTATTTATTGAGTAATACAACAGAAATATAAGTCTTTCTTTCTTTCTTTTTCCCCAGAGGTATGTCTTTCTTAATAAACTTCTAAGAAGTAAGAACTAATAAAGCAATGATTTCTGAAACAGCACAATATACAAGTTTGAATAGAGACTTAATGTATTATTGGTATTAATCCATTAAGTTAAATCATTTGGACACAAAGTATGTATTATTTTTAAATGCTTACAAGGATATTTTTATTCAATTATAGGTAACTTTATTACTTAGGTACATACCCAGTTTTAGCAAAATTTGTCCAGTATGTCATTACAACTGCACTCAGCATCACATCATTTTTGGAGAAATTGCAAGGAAATAACTCTGTAGGTCCAATCATGGGGATTCCTAGTACGTAGGGAACTTCATCCCCATGAGCTGCATCAGCCCAAGCTGGAACCTGATCTGTTTGGCAATGATGGTAAAAGGCATAGAAATATGTAGGTGAACCAAAGTTTGAGTGAAGATCTGCTGTAGCTACAGCTGGTGCCACCCACTGATGGTCTGTAAACAAAGCCAATAATGTCTTCCTTCTGGTTTCAGGGTTATGACGGTCAGCCCAGTCAGTATACATGAATTTAATGGTTTCTCTCAAAACATCTTTGCCTTCAGGATATCCATATAAATTATCAACAAAATTGGAAACAGCAAAGTCAAAATCACTAGCTGATATACCATCATCACTATCTACTATATTTTCAACAAATTTTAACCCTTCCCCTTGGTTAACTCCTAACATTATATCATAGTTGAGAAACTCTCCTTGCTCCATCAATATCTGAGGGTCATCTGGTATTACGTCACCATCAATCACAGGTCCAAAGGCTATGTGGTATCGTGCTGGTTGAATATCTTGGTCAACAAGTTCTTTGTAAGGCTTCTTCTGTAGGCATTCCACTAACTCTACTGTATCTGAAACATTGCAACCAACTTTTGTGGCCAACATTCTAGCATATTTTGCAGGTTGGAAACTAACAGCCCAGCTGGAAAGGGCTGTTCCACTTTGAGCTATTGCTCGTTGAAAAAGTCCTATAGGAAAAACAACAGAGTTTGAGATGACTTTTGAATAATGTTGTGGTAAAACAATAACATCTGATATTTTAGCTGTGTAAATAAAAACCCATATACAACTCAAGAAACAGGAAGATAGAGACATTTTTGCTTAAGAGAAGGTACATAAAGACATCCCCAAGGTATAAGGAGTCAAAGAGGTAAAGTCTTATGCTTTGAGTGGCATCTGCTTTAAGGATCAAGAGGTCTAAATTGCTTAGTGTCTCAAAGAGGCAATAAGCAAGGAGAGATGGAGAACATGTAAATATTAGTGGTAAAAAGTCCCAAGTATTTTTTCACCCAACATGTAAACACCCATGTTATTATGAAAGCCAACCAGGTGGGCTTTCTCCCCCTTAACTCTTCATTAGAATTTGTACTGTTTTTTTTTTTTTTTTTTTTTTTTTTTTTTTTTAGAATATTTCTTCCAATTTGGCTGCATGTATCTTCTTTCAAAATGGCTCTGTATGCTTGTTTTAATCAGATTTATTAAAAAAAAGAATTGCTGGGAGCTCACACAGCTACTGGGGCTGGGGAATTTGCTAATACCCTGGGGATGGCCCAGAAGGCACACAGAACAGAATATCACTTTAGACATACTCTTTCCAACTCTTCATGTCAGACATAGTGTGCTGAATATTCATCTTTCAGAAGAAGATATAACATTTGAAGTGTTTTCACTAGGTTAAAGAAAAAACCATCAGCAGAAGGATTCAGTGTGTGTTTGTGTGTGTGTGGGGGGGGTGATTTAACTTTTTCCACTGTTGAATACTCACTGCTATATTTTATCATAAAAGATGAAAAAGTCATGGTCCACTGCTTTTTACTTAATTGCGTTTAAGAATTATAAATCATGGTCCCAAATGCAGTTTGATAAGGGCTGCATCCCATTCAAATTTACAAATGCACTTTATCTACTCATTAAGATATTTTCAAATAAAATTCTTGTTTTTAAAACATAATTTATCTATTTTCTTTAAAAATTACATTTATTATCAATTTCCAAAAATACCTTCATAGTTGTTATTTAAACACATGCTCAATTATTCATATGTGTTAATGAGATAAGAATTATTCTTTTCAAAAAGTGTTAAAGCAGTGTCTGAATTAGAAACAAAGTTCCAGATTTTTCTCCAAACATGTACATGTATTCAAAGTGTCTATAATGTGTTCTTAGATAATTCTAAAAATATTAAAAAAATCAAACAGTACCAATTTAAATTTGTTTTGGTTTCTGACTTCTTTATGAACATATTTTTAGTTTATCAGAGCAAAGTATGCCAGAGCAAATGATATAAATACAGATATTTTTTAAAAATTACATAGGCTATGTGTTTGTTAACATTTGTTCAGAAAAAATATTTTACTAATTAAAAACTTTACAACTGAAATAAACTTGGTGATTATTTCCCATTTCAGGGGCTCATTGAGATTAACTAAATATACCAAAGAAGATTTGGGAAAAATACATATTACATTATATTCTGAAATATGCCATCTAGATAGTATTAGAAAAACCAAATATTTTATCATTAATGAAAATGCTTATTATGTATATATAAGTTGTGGTTGACTCCTGGTAGATACAAGTCTGAGCATTGCTGTAACCTTGGGGAGTTTACAGACTTTAAATCAATGTCTGCACTGGAGATAGAATTAGCTTGATGATTTTAAGGGATCTCCTGGGCATCTCCTGCGAAAAATCATGCAGCCTTTTTGTAGAGATAGGCTTAGGACTAAATCAAATATAAGTCCATTTCTCTGGCCCTGCCATGGACAGTCTTCCTTGAAGAGTGTGATGGAATATTATATTTTCAACTATTGGCATAGACATTGGCCACTGTTCATTAAATCATCAATTGATGAATAGCAATGCTGGCCAACTTACTAATTGGTTCATCTCTTTATCAAATGATAGTTTTATACTAGGTGATTAGCTTTGGTGCCCATTTTTGCTCTACATTTAGAAAAACTTTTAGAATAAATAGGAAGAAATAATATTTGAGATCAAACGACCCTAAGAAGTCTGACCAGATTGTCTAATGTTAACCTACATAAATATTGGCATTCATATAGTCCTCAGCTAGAACAATCTAATCTCTTCAATGAAAAAACAATAACAACAAAGTTTATTTCAAAATAAGTCACTTCATTATAGACCAAAATCCCTATACACTTGGAAATGTTCTCATATGTGTCATTTTGTCATCTCAAATCAGAACTCTATTAACTCTATGACATAAAGAAGATGTCACATAAACTATACCTATAAATTAAGTCTATGAAAATATATGATTCTCCAAATATATATACTCATTTAGTGATAGGCTGTTCTTTTGAAATTCTACATCAATATATCTTTGATACTGAAAACACATATTCTATGTCTGATGCTCCATATCATAAAACTCAGTCTTACAGATCAAGATGCTTCATGAATTACACTTGACAGTATATACTTCTTTAATATATATAAAATGACAATAAAAAAAGCAGAAAACACAAAATGGTCTGTGTTGATGTGCCTGCTCTGTCTTCCTCTCTGTTATGTATAATAGAGAAAAAGTATTTGCTTTTGCAGTCTTTTCCAACAAAACACTTCTGTTCTTGCGGATATTTCAAGTTAATAATGCAATTAGAATGAGTGAATTAAACTCATGGTAAAATGGAAATTCATAAAAAAAATAACATGATGAGCCTTGGGCAGGCACTTTGGAAAAAGGGTGTCAAGGCATGAAAATGGAGACAAGAAAAATGCTTCATGGGTTTAAGCAGCCTCAGTGCTCCAAGCTGCTTTGCCAAGCTTTACAGGGAAAAAAAATAAACACTTTGGAGGTTGAAAATAGAAAAAGCACAAATTCAAACCTAATATTCCTTTTAATGAAAAGCTCTACCAGTGACCTTGATGCTTTGACAATTTTGGATCATGCATGCAAAATAATCAAACATCCATTCTCTATTCAGACAACAAGTGAAAACCTTGTTTCCAGACAAACCAGCTTGTGACTGCTTCCTTATCTTCCTACTGGTGAAGGGTTTTAAATGCCTATTGTCTTGAAAATAGATAATACACAATCCTTGCATTAAAAAAAAAAAAACAAAAAACAACAAAAAAAAAACCTGTCTTTGATTTTTGATTACTGAATAAACAGAGATGACAGAACTGTGAACATCTTTGATTTTCCCCAAAATCACCTTTTAGAGGAAAGAAAAGGAACTGTAATGCTAACTATTCTGAAGTGTGCTTGAAAGGGCATCCTTACCAAGCTCCACAGGAGACAAAGAAAAGAGTTTGACAAAAATTTAAACATGCATAGAAAAGCTGAAGAAACAAAAATTTAAACAGTTATTGAGCTCAACCTAACACTCAGTTTCAACAGAGAAATATGTACAGAGCATCACATACTACTGATGGTGGTAGCATGCAGACACCAAAATTGTCAAAATTTGCAACCTGCATAATACCTTTGGTTGAATTGCTCCAACGGTTACCTTCAGAATAATGGGATAAAGTCAGCAGATTGACACATGAACCCCCAGCGCCAGATCCAAAAACAGTGATTCTTAAGGGGTCACCACCAAAGAATCCAATGTTCTCACTAGTCCATCTTAAAGCCTGTATGAGGTCAAGGAGTCCATAGTTTCCTTTTGCAGCCTGATCCCCTGTGCTTAAGAAACCTGGAAGATTGAAATAAAAGAATACCTTAGATCACCTTTTTGAGTTAACATGAATCAAACAGACATTCAATTAAAATACAATTAAAGCTTGGGGCGCCTGGGTGGCTCAGTTGGTTAAGCGTCCGACTTCAGCTCAGGTCATGATCTCGTGGTTTGTGAGTTCGAGACCCACGTCGGGGTCTGTGCTGACAGCTCAGAGCCTGGAGCCTGCTTCAGATTCTGTGTCTCCTTCTCCCTCTACCCCTCCCCTGCTCGCACTCTGACTCTATTTTTTAATAATAAATAAACATTAAAAAATACAATTAAAGCTTGTATTCATCAAGGTGAGTACAGTACAAATTCTTTAGTAAAAAATTATTTCCCACCAGAATAGAAGAATATACTTGAGGAAGAATAGTAGACACTGAAATCTGAAAAGTGACATTTATCCTCCCCAAGTTACCCAGGTAATAGGTAACAAGGGGCAGATAAAGAGAATGAAAACATTCTCAAAAACCTCAAGGGAGACATTCTATAGGCCAAGTTACTTGGTGGAGATATTTGAGATAGTATCACGGGGAATATGAGAATGTGCTTTTGCATAAAACACTGTGTCAGTCCTCAAGTTGTTCATGATCTAACATGGTTGGAATTTAAGGAATGTGTAGCACAGGGGCAGGATGTGAGGGTGATGAGCACGGGTATTTTTCTAAGACTTGTGCATAAAATTATATGCAACTCTTTGCATGTAGATATATATGCACATTTTTATCAATGATGGTCCATGTTTAAGAAATAATCACTGTGTTGGGGCGCCTGGGTAGCTCAGTCAGTTAAGTGTCCGACTCTTGATTTAGACTCCAGTCATGACCTCGGTGTCCTGAGATTGAGCCCCGTGATGGGCTCTATGTTGAACATAGAGTCTACTTAATATTCTCTCTTTCTGTCTCTTTCTGCCCCTCCCCTATTCACGCTCACTCTCTCTCTCTCTCTCTCAAAATAAAATAAAATATAATCTTTAAAGGAAAAGAATGAATCAGTGTGTTAGAGGTAATTTGAGAACACATTTGGAATACCTTAAATGCTAAACTGAGCATATTTGCTCAATTAGAAAACAACATAGAATAATTGGAGGTTTTTAAAAAGTTCAGACTCATATATCTAGAATGTTTAAAGCTCTGCTTAACAGTAAATCTGATAATGAAGAGGAATATATATTGCATAATACAAAGAAAGGAGGTAGAAGAAAGTTTATAAGGATCTGAACTGACAGATTGGCAAAGACAATTGAAAAAAGGGGATAGAAAAAATGTTGTGGCTGTAACAGCTGGCTGAGTAACTTTCTTTATATATGAAAGTTTTAGAGAGGAGTCAAAGATAGTACTTTAATAATACTTTAAACATATTCACTCATTTCACTGACTTAATAGCTTTTATATTATGTTTATTACAACTTGTAAAACAAATATCTACTCTCTAATATATTTCCACATTTGCTATAAATGAAAAAGTATAAAGTAATTCATAAAAGATTCCATTTTATAGATTATTCACATATTGTGTAGGAAATATTTAGAGATATATTACACATAAATTGATTATATTTAGGGATATAATTTCCAATCTCACCAAGTGTATAGAACTCATATTTTTAATTAGATATATTCCCTTATTGCAGACCCATTAGAGGAACTCAACATAAAAAAAGTAAAAATTAGTTTGTTCAATGTGAAATATATCTTTATTTTATAACTGACATTTATACCTGACTTTTATTTATAAGTCAGGAAGTCAGTGATACTTGTGAAAACCAGACTGTGATAACAGTACCTATCAGTTAAGTGAATCAATCCATACCCAAAATGAATAAAGGGACAGGAAATTCTTAGGATCACTGTAGGAAGCAATAGATGAAGACAAATCTTTTTGAATAGTTTTGCAAAAAAAATATGAGGTAATGTTGATTAGTCATTCTTTTTCTATAAGACCAAAAAATTTAAGAAACAAAAACACAATCTCTAGTCCATGATGCGAGCATATGTGTTCACGTGTGTGCACGTGTATGTGTGTGTATGTGTGTGCGTGTGTGTGTAACCGCAAAACCAATCACCCTTGATACAGAGGTTAACTTTTAAAAAATAGGATTCAAATAAATATATCTTTCTGGACATACTCATTACTTTTTTATTAAATATACATAACAATTTAAGGAAATCTTCATTGTATCTTCTTAACATAAAAGCACTTTTGAATATTCAAAGGTCATATAAATGAGAGCATATTAAAATACAGAACAAAAACATGGCAAACAGCTCTTTTAACTTTATTTGCTATTAAGTAAATTTTGGTATAAGATAGAACCATTAGTTTAAGTTCCTGAAGGGGTCTGTTACACCTTTTTTTTCTATAAACATGGACTGATAGCATGAACTCTGAACACAACCTTATGAAAGGATTACTATGCACTAGATACAAGTGACTCTTGAAGGATATAATAAGTGTGTGTGTGTGTGTGTGTGTGTGTGTGTGTGTGTGAATGAGAGAGAGAGAATAAATGAATGAGAGAATGGGAGTGCACTCTAGGTAGTTTATTACCTATAATTTTATATTCAGATAGAAATTAGATTTCTGAATATAGCTTATGCCACTCAGCAAAAACCCCAGGATTTGTATTTAATTCCTTTTGAAATAATATTGAATAATTCCAGTATTATTCAAATAAATCTCTATATTCATACAAAATTGACTTCCTAATAAAATAATCATAACTCAATATGTAGCATGTAGAGAACCATAGTAATAATATTATTATCTCTAACTTAACTAAAATATAGGGCCTCTATAATTCCAGTTTTAGTAGCATCATTTTAAGGACTCTGGTAAGTTGGTCAAGTAATTTTGTGTTTATATCATAATACTTGTAAAAGCATGTCAATTGGCCAAAAAGCAAGTTCTAATTTATATATGACTTAGTGAAATCTTATAGCATCATCAAGAAAAAATAAAATAAAGTCAATTCAATTCCAAAGTTGCACTGTTAAGTCATAGCATGGAAAATGGAGTAAATCATCAGATAAAAGATTGTGGTCCTAGGCTTGGAATGTCCAAGCTACTCTGTCAAACTTCATTTTTACCTTTCATTACAGAATTTCCTTCACTATTAATTTTTATTTCATGTGTATGCTGTACTTTATCTATATCTATCTATCACCTATCTATCTATCTCTCTATCTATCTATCAATCATCTATCATCCTCTAACTAAAAGCAACTGATCATTAGCATGAATTAGGAAAAAATAATACCTACTGCCTTTATTAAGGTCAGCCAGCCAATCAAAATCATATCTCTTTAGACTTGATAAAGTAATACTACATGCTTGTATGAATTCTTTGATTTCTGATGCTATATTCAAACAAGAGTTTGTGGCTCAGCCAAGGGTAATAAATGAGGAAAGTTAAGTAAATCGCTGCCTCAAAAGAGACACAGTTCGCTAATTACCCAAGTGATTTGCATTGGCAGTATTCTTTATACTTTACTATCCAGTGAAGTGTCATTTAAAGTTCTGTTTAAAATTGACTTAGGTGCTGTGTCCTTAACAGCAGAATCATTTCAGATCACTCTACTTGGAATTTTACATTGGACTTCTCAACTACAGGCCAGCCATGGCAGAACTCAATTTTGCAAAGATCCCAGTGTTCCTTACCTTCCTGATTACTTTCAAGAAGGTTTTTCCCTTAATGTCACTTAAGTCATTCTTTATAGTCATTCAATTTATCAGGCCTTTCCTGGCTTTCAATTGTAAGCTCCTAGAATGTATGACTAATTATTGTCCTAACACAATTACACATTATTTTGTAATATAGAACAATAATGATTACAAGTTCTTCTTCTTTTTGGGGGAGATAGCAACAGAATTCTCCAGAAAACAATATTTACCTATTTAATTTACTTGACTCATGAGTATAAAACCTGAAAACATTATTACATTTAAACTTAAGGTAAACTTTCCAAATTCATAATAACAAGTATGCCAAGAATTGTTTCAGTGGCTCATGTACACACTATAATTCTCACCAACTATGTGTTCAAATAGAATTTATTTAATGCCTTTTTTTTCCCCACCTAAAAATTAGTCCTACTAAAAGAAAAAAAAAAACAAAAACCAAAAAACTTCTCCAATCATTGTTTTTACTACCTGGACTACTAGTTTTACTGATCTGATTAAGTTTACTGAGCAGGGTTTGATATTTACCTGATCTAGCAACTAGGATTACTTTCAGGTGTTAGAAACCAAGCAAACTGAACATGGGTCCACAGGCCCTTGGAATGGAAAAATCAGATCAGGCATAAAATAAATTGGCAAGGGAGAAATAAATAAAAACAGATAATGGCTGTAACCAGCTGTTGGTTTGGGCTATTGGTGCCCACCAAATTCAGACAGACAGACCTGAGAGAGTAGGAGAGAAGCTGAGTTAAGCTGTCTGGCAGCAGCCCTGCAGCTTCTTGGTTGACCCGATCTATATTCAGGTCGCTTACAGTATAACTGTATAGACGACATATTTTGAATGTAAAACAAAAGGAAAGCAGGGTGCTTCTCAGTAAAAAAGATCTAAACATATTCAAGGAGGACACTGAGAGTAGCGAAAATGCAGACTGTTTTCATCTGAGATGACATCTAGATTTTCAGAAATTAAGATGTCAGTGATTCTAGGGGCGCCTAGGTGGCTTAGTTGGTTAAGCATCCGACTTTGGATCAGGTCATGATCTCACAGTTTGGGGGTTAGAGCCCTGGGTCAGACTCTGTGCTGACAAATGAGAGCCTGGAGCCTGCTTCAGACTCTGTGCCTCTCTTTCTCTCTGCCCAACCACCCCCCCCACCGCCGCTTGTGTTCTCTCTTTCTGTTTACAAATTTGTATAAATAAACTTAAAAAAATAAGATGTTAGTGATTCTATGTTGTAGTTATGCTTTCTTTTTTAAGGGGAGAAGGGCAAATCTGAATGCCTATGCTTATAGTGTT